GAAACTAACAAGAAACTCTTAAAAGAGTAAAATATACTCATAGAATATTATAACAACAAGAAAATAGAAAATAAGATATGTGTGTTTTAAAATAGTGTGAAGTAGTCTCTATTTATAAGTGTAAATTGAGCTCAAACTCTAACTACTTAGAGAAAATCTGTAACAGTTAGAGAAATATTTGATAATAGGTCTACAACGTTTTACAACGTCTCGGAATGAGTTCCTTGTTTTTCTATAATACAATTTTATAACAATCTCTAGTTTGAAACCTAAAAAATATAAATAATTGGGAATATTTAGTTTAATTATGACTTAATTCAGTTTTCTTTTGTTTTTATTTTCTTATTTTTCAATATTATCAATACTTCTAGTACATAAAAATATGCATTACTTTTTTCTTAACAAAAATATTATAAAGAAACTAATGTTTTGCACGAATGTAACTCATACTTTGAACTTTCAAACAAGTGTACTGATACCTAAATATAACATAATTTTAAAAAAATATATGAGATTCCTCTCAAATTTAATGTTTAACTAGTAACATATTTTTGTCCATTTTGGAAGACTAAATTTAAAAATAAAAATAAAAATTAGGAAGCACAATCAGAATTATCCTAACTTTTAAAAGCAAAAGCATAATTAACTAAATAGATTAACTGACTTTTGAGATAACATTTTTGTTAAGTATTAATATTTTAATTGGTATATTTGTTAGGCTAATTATGAGTTTGACCAACAATATCGTTAGACCAGATCATATTTAACACCTCTATAGGTAACTGACGGTTATGATTTCCCATATGAGAATACGTGTGAATTTGAATCAGGCATTGAGTAATATAACATTTGGGCTGGAAAGTTGAGCCTTGGGCCTATGCCCAAAAGCTACTTACCTTTCTTGTTTACATTTCGGACTATTGGAAAACATTTGGATCCATTTATGGACGACACGTACACAGTGCAACAACAAATAAAGTAAAACTTTCACGTAATTCATGGATGCTATTTTTTTAGGTGGTCATGGATAAATAAATGGAGGATAAGAACTAATGCGATATATTTTTTTTTCACGAATTTAATTTTTTAAAAATTAGCATATGAAGAATTTTTTTTCTATTATCATCATTTAATAATTATTAAATATGAAAAACGTTATTTTTTTGGCATAACCAAAGTAATTGCTTAAAATTACTGAAAAAATAAAAAACAAATTATACGCGTTAGTCATAAAAACAAATAATACGCGTTGATCCATGGAGTGAGAGAAGGGAACTGAGGAATAGGATCCCACTAATAGGAGAAAAGTCAAAACATAACTGAGTTACCTGTTCAGGATTGTCACGTGTTCGAAGTTCAGGTGTGCCACGTGTTCAAATGGAACTGGCGTTCCGCTATTTATACTACTCGCCTTCTCCTTCCCCCTCCGTCATTCAGTAACTCGCAATCTCTCTCCTTCAATTCCCAATTGCGACAATGCCGAACCCTAAGGTCTTCTTCGACATGACCATTGGAGGCCAACCCGCGGGCCGCATAGTCATGGAGCTCTTTGCCGACACCACTCCTCGAACCGCCGAGAACTTCCGCGCCCTATGCACCGGCGAGAAAGGCGTCGGCCGCAGCGGCAAGCCCCTCCACTACAAGGGATCTTCCTTCCACCGCGTCATCCCCAACTTCATGTGTCAGGGCGGCGACTTCACCGCCGGTAACGGCACCGGCGGCGAGTCCATTTACGGCTCGAAGTTTGCAGACGAGAACTTCATCAAGAAGCACACAGGCCCCGGCATTCTGTCGATGGCGAACGCGGGACCAGGCACGAACGGATCGCAGTTCTTCATCTGCACCGTCAAGACGGAGTGGCTGGACGGGAAGCACGTGGTGTTCGGAGAGGTGGTGGAGGGCCTAGACGTGGTGAAGGAAATCGAGAAGGTGGGCTCCAGCTCCGGCAAGACCTCCAAGCCCGTCGCCGTCGCTGACTGCGGACAACTCTCTTAGGCATGCGCATCCAAACACCGTCGTTTACTATTTTTTTTATTATTATTATTTTATTTTAGTTTGTTGGAACTGTGGGTGGGTTGAGATATTTCTGTTTGCGATCATAAAACTCATTCTACTGCTACCTTAAATAAAGTTAGGATTAATCTTTGATGCTTATTTCTTTTTATTTTGCCTTATATAACTTTTTATTTAGTTCTGGATACAACAACTTCTATAATCTATAACGATAATAAATTGTTGTTTACTATTTACAACTTTGATTAATATTCATAAAATGATATATATGTATATCTAATGAAAATCATTTCGATTTTTTAATAAATGTTAAAGAATATATCATTGGCGTTTCTTTTAGGGCATTAACTTTAAAAATATTATTAAATAATTCACATTTTGAAACAATGGAACACAAAGAACAACGATTGTATCAGAACAGAAATAATTAAAGAGAGAAGGTAGTCTATAGAGGTAGACTATATGTACATTGTTTGTAAATTTTTAATTTTTAGACGAAGAAGGTATTTTAAATCAAATGTAAATTTAAACTAGTTTTTCAATTCTTTTTAAGGGGTGTTTCTAAGATGGACTTTTACACTGTTATATAATATTTGATAGTCGAAATCATGTCCGATAAACCCTAATTGTACAGGTGATCAATTTAAAAATATTGCACTAACCGTGCTTATTAAAAAAATATATGTTTCTTTTAAAAGAAAAAAAAAATACGACACGCGTTGATAGAACATATAGAAATTTATAGTAATTCTCGATTAATTTATATATTAAAGATGAGCAGAACATCTTACGCACTCACTTTTTCGCGAGCATTTTGTGGAGTAAAATATGGATCACATTTGTTCTGCTCTGGGGCATGATTTATTGTAGGGATGTAAGCGGGTATCGTAATTTCTGATTCTGTCAAACTTAATTCAATTAAAATATATTTTTGAATTGTATTAGGTTATTGAGTTAAATTGAATTTTATTTAGTTTACTCACTTTCATTTAGCATTGGGTCAAATAATGGGTTTATAAATTTTAAATAATTTTAATTTTTATTATACAAATATTATTATGAAATATTGAAAAAATATGTTTTAAAGTATTTTTAATAATTTTGTATTATAAAACTACTAAATTGATAATTTTATCAATTTAATTATAAAAAATAATAATAAATCTAGCATAATTCAACTAAATTTAATTGGGTTAAATCGAGAATTAAATATTGTAATATATTGTATAAATATTTTGAGTTGGAGTTCCATTGTCTCAACTCAATTCTTATATGAAGAAAGAAAGTGGTAGTTAATGATAAGTAAATTAAGGGTTTAGGCGGAGGAGATATTTATTAATAGGTTAGGAGTGAAACAGAACTCATGCTCAACTTTTTCATTTGGTGTAACGTAAAACTTGAACTATGAACTTTTCTGGATTTGGGAATAAATCTTTAGCTGTACTGTACTTGGTGTACATAAACTTCAAAGAAGACGTCAACTGAGGAGGTTTCCCTCAAAATTGTAATATTAATTGCTCTGCCTCTCTGTTTCTCTGAACATGAAACTAAGTAGTTTAAATTGATTATTTTTAATTACTTTTATTGATAAAATAATTAGTTTAAACACAATTACATGCTTAAGGGCCTACTTGGAATAACAAAATTGTACCAACATAAGGTTGCAGCATGAATGAAGCCACACGTTGTCGCGAAGCAGAGTATGACGCGGGAAGCTTCCGCAGAGGAAATGATGAAAAAGTGGTGAGTCCCTTTGATCAGCAGTGAGTGGGAGTGGATCATAGAGATAGTGATAGTGATAGTGATAGTGATAGCGATATCGATAGCAATGGGTATTGCAGAGAACTCAAAGGGTTTGGTTCTTGCCGTCGCATCGGGTGTGTTCATAGGGGCAAGCTTCATTATGAAAAAGAAAGGTCTGAAGCAAGCTGCTACACACGGCACTCGCGCAGGTCTTCATCCTTTCTAGCATTTGATTTTTAAGTTCTACTCAGCTATCTATGATTATCATTGCTCTATATGCATCAAATTAAATTGATTTTACTTACAGGGGTTGGCGGATATTCTTATCTTCTACAGCCTTATTGGTGGGCTGGCATGCTTACAAGTAATTTTTTTTTTGCTTCCTCTGCTATTACCATGCTTGTAGTGAGTGAGAATGAGACTTGTATGTTTATTTGGATCTCCAAACTCATCGTTATTCCTGGCAGTGTTTATTGGGGAGGTTGCCAATTTTGTGGCTTATATATATGCCCCTGCGCTTCTCGTTACTCCCCTTGGCGCACTAAGTATTATTGTCAGGTACTGCTGCTTTAACACTTTTCTTCTCATCAATCCTAATAATATGTTATCAAAATTATGACTTTCTGTTCAAACTCACTCAATCCGTGTGTGTTGGGATAGTGCTGTCTTAGCCCACTTCTTGCTGAAGGAAAAGCTTCAGGAGCTGGGGATTTTGGGATGTGTGTTCTGCATTGTGGGTTCAGTTCTCATTGTCATTCATGCACCTCAAGAGCACGCTTTGAATTCTGTGCAAGAAATATGGGATCTCGCCACTCAACCTTGTTCGCTTCCATCCTCCTTTCTTTATTTTTAATCTTGTATTATTAAGTTCATTTGCGTGGTGTTTCTCATAATCTTATTTTTGTTTCAACAGTATTTCTTGTTTACGTGACGGCAACAGTGTCGGTAATTTTAGCCTTGATTTTGCATTTTGAACCTCGCTACGGTCAGAAAAATATGCTGGTCTACTTGGGAATTTGTTCATTAATGGGTTCACTTACGGTACTTGTGTTTCACCAATCACTGTGATGCAAGCTTTATATTGATATTGTGATGCACAAACTAACTACATGCTAACTAAACTATTCAGGTTATGAGCACAAAAGCCATAGGAATTGCAATCAAGCTTACGTTAGAGGGAATAAGTCAAATAACGTATCCTCAAACTTGGTTTTTTCTTACCATGTCTGTCATATGTATCATTGCACAGTTGAACTACCTGAACAAGGTGAGTCTTGGATAGTTATAAAATTTAGCCCAATGCAACCTGTAATCCAAAACATAAATTATTGTGCATGTGATCGACGTATTGAATTGAAGGTCTCCATTTTCTATATTTGTTTCATCACTCTACAAAATGGTCATCTTTCGCAAAAAAAATGATGCCAACTCTCTCTTTCAGTACGGATTAGAGCATGGACAATGTAAACGTCTTATGAGAAACTTATAAGGAGTTTTATTCTACTTAAAATGGCTCTCATCATGTCGCATTATTTTTAAATAATTTGTGTTATATATCTGCAAGTTTTACTTCAATATGATGGTGAATCTTATAAGAACTATATTTTTATAATTATTTATTTGTATTTCAATTTTTTACAATACAAGGTTAATTTAATGAATAAAATGTTGTATATTAAGACCCAGATCCTATATAATAGTTAGTTCTTAATTTTAAGATTCCTATCATGTCACATCTTATAAGACCTAAGTCTTAGATTTAAGACTCTTCTTAAGACCTCTGTATTAGAGATGTTCTTAAGGTAAACCAACTTGTCATGTGCAGGGAATATATGATCTGTAGATGCCTCATCATCTTTTCGAAATCTTTTCTGAAGACAGTCTGGTAGTAGTGCAATTTAAGGGGCTTTTGTGGCCAAATGATGCAGGATAATTCGAATCATGTCTTAGCAATCTTTGTTTCTTCCAACATCAGTACATGACAATTACAATCCCAGCTTGATCCCTATAGGCTATATGTAGACACAATTGAATGGGAAATTATGTGTTCCTGCTTTCCATTTGAGAAACAAAGGAATGAAGTATACATATTTGGAGCAATAGTTAACTTGGAACAATTTTAAACTGGTCATGAAAATTATGCTCTTAGCCTCTAGGAGGTTTTCGATTTGCCCAAATCAAAGTTGCATAACCACACTGGCTAATTGTACTCCTCATAAACTCTCTATAGCTATAAATTCTTCACTAAGTGTTAATAGGATCTGTCTACACGTAAATCAAAGGGCTCTGGCCCTTAGCCCTTGAAAGCTGCGCCTCTAAAGAGAAAAGCATGTACTTAATTAGAATTGTCAAGACTATAAAGTTCTGGCTTGTCAAGACTATAAACTGCACGATGAGGCTATTTAACATTATTGGTGAGAGTTAATAGTACTTCATGTCATTTCCCAGTGTCATATTTGTGGAGATTTCAGAGAATAAGGTTGTTGGGTGCTCCACATTTTCATAGTAGTTTTAAAGCATTTTCTATAAATTATATTATCAAATGGGTCACACTAGATTATTTAATTACATTTCACCAGATCAATCATTATGAATTTCATACTTTTCTGCATGAAAAATTGAGTTCTTGCACTTGCTACAAACTTAAATATACAGGCCATTGAAATTAAGACGTAGAAGTATCAAAGGAAATCTTTTAAATGGTGGGTGCTCTTCTAGTCTTTCGGCTCCTTGTCCCGAAGATTTATTATTTCAATACCAAGTTTAACAAATTCTAATGTTGTTTTTATTGCAATAACATTACTTTGCTTATTATAATTTATAACCATTTTAGCTTTATCATGGTTTCCTTTACCTGTTGACTAATCTTCAACACTTCTGCTATATGGAACTATGTTTCAGGCACTAGATACGTTTAACACGGCTATTGTCTCTCCCGTATATTATGTCATGTTCACAACCCTGACTATTATTGCTAGTGTGATAATGTTTAAGGTATCATGACATATTCATATTCTTGGATTCCTTTAGTGCTATTCAAACATCTTTTTGTTGAACTATAGAGAAAGCTTGACTTTTTTATTGCTTTAATTTTCTGTGCAGGATTGGTCTGGTCAGAGTGCAAGCAGCATAGCCTCTGAGATATGTGGATTTATCATTGTTCTTTCAGGAACAATCTTATTGCATTCGACAAGAGAACAAGAACAACCTAATATGCGACGTACAAATTACATTACTTTCAATCAATTGCCAATTATCAATCTATTTGTTGTTTGAAATCTGTGCATTACTCTTAGTTAACTTTAGATGTCCAGGCCCAAAACCTTGAATTATAGATTCATGATTGTAGCTTCAATTTACTTCCTATATGAGTATCAAATGTCCATGGACCCTCTTGATACATAGGCAGAGTGATTTCGTTATAGGGACTAAACCTGAGCCGGTGATGTTTACTTTGCACTGCTATTTGATGCAGGGTCCTTAACATGGTACATTGGTGAAGACTTAGTGAAGGGCATTGAAGATGAACGCCTGAACCTTATTATACACGGTTCAGATTACGTTGAAAAGTGACTTTTTCTGAGGTTGATGTAAGAGAACTCGTTCTCCTAGTATCTCTACCAACAATACAATGATGAACCTAGTGGGTTCATGATTTGGAGCATTTGCAATCTTGTGATTTAAGAAATGTAGGAACTATCTTATACAATGTATGATTTAAGCAAGCCCTTCTCAAAATAAAATTGGGATTGCAAATGTGTTACGTTTCTGTTTGATTTTTTCTTTTTGTGTAATGTTTCTCGTATTTCTTATTCAGTTACCAGATTCTATTGATTCTTTTATTGAATAGGTATTAATATGTTGGTTTCTGGTATAGATTTTCAAATTTGTAGCAATTGGGGATGAGTTATTGGTTGGTGGATATATTTTTGCATCGACCTAGTAAAATCCTGCGTGGAGATATTTTCTTATTTTTTGAGAAAGAGAAAAAGAGGTCAGAAATATCTAATAAATAAATAATATTTAGTGTTTTTGTTAAAAAATCAAAATAATGAGAACATTTTATGAGTTTAAACATAATTGCCATTTTGGAATCTATCCGCTGATCTCTCTAGAATGCTTAAAAAAAAGAAAAAGAAGGGAAGATCCACTCTATAATATAAGAAAAGGAGAATAAAGATAATAGAGAAAATTTTCTAACAAGAATTAAGTATAAAGTTATTATTGACTTAGAATTATAACCAAGGAAGATGAAATGTTATTTGTATAATAATATGAAATTTGATGATTATAATAATATATTTAATTAAGTGAGGTTAAGTATTATAATATTATTGATATGATGTAATTAGATAATTTTTATAACGGTATGCTCAAATCATTGTTATAGTATAATAATAAGTTCAAATGATTTTTTCAAAATAATAATATATTCAGATAATCTGTAATTCGTTATATAACTCATAATAAATAATTCAATTTATTAATGATAGAGTCAAATTAATTATTTAAGATAAACTAAAAAATTATTTAGTTTTTATTATAAACTTGATGAACTATGGTAACTTTATCTTATTTAACTTTTATTACAAATGTGATGAGCTGCAGATACTTCACTTTTTTACATTGGATCACACTAGATAAAAACATTAATGTAGTGTGATAGCTACATTTAATGAACTATACTAATTACATTTTTCCTTCTAATCTCTTATTAGGCAAATACGTTGATATATATTATATTTTAAGGTCAGTTGTGTTAACAACAACTTTTTTGCACAAAACTAATTACAAGACAAAACTTATACAAAGTTAAGTGTAGCATAAAACTAAGTGTAACATTGAGATAAATATAATACGGAGCTAAAGATTATTCAAAGTTAAGAATAGTACGAAATTAAATGTGACATGAAATTAAATGTAACTTTATAGCAACTATACACCTATTCATATTAACTTTATGTTGGGTAGATTGACATAAAATAATTATTTTGATGAGTTATGTTAATCACACCCTTTTGCATTAGTTTTATTTTAGTTAAAAAATTTATTAACCCGATAATTTTCATTTTTTCACATTAACTCACTTCTAGGATATTTATTATGAAATATAAATCTACCTTCTTAATATCATTAATTGCACCCCGATTTAAAATTTGAGAAATCATCTTCTCATATAACTGATGATTTCTCATATAACTCTTTTCATGTGAGATTTTAAACTATGAATAATATCTTTAAAATTCATATTATTATTTATCAAAATATTGTTAGTTGTTTTAACGACTTTTGTTTTAAGAATAGGTTGAACTCTATATAATACTAAAAGATAAAATATTAACCTACAAAATATTATAATAATTAAGTTAATATAAAAATATTATATTATATTATTTTAATATATTTTTATCTTAATCATCATATCTAATATTATTTTAATTTGGATTAAGGCTTAAATAATTAGTTATTTTTTAATTAATTTATTTTATTATTCTTCTGTGCTTTTTTTTATTATTATTATCATCCAGCACGATAATAATTTTATGTTTTGGGTAATATTATTTTAATATTTATAATTTTAAGAAACCACTTGGTATACTTGGTACTGTTTCCTAATCACTATTTAATGAAAAGGCTTAAGTCGGTGCCTCTGCATGTACAGTGTAGAACTGTCCTCTCACAATTGCTATAAATGCTGATTGATTTATTATTCCTATGTCAATACACTATGATACCATTAAAGGTATGGTCTCTACTCTAAGCGACAAGGCTAGAACAGTTTGATGGCATATAATTTAATATCAATAATAAAACTAAAAAATATTAAAGAAAAAAATATCAAATGCATCATTTAATTCTAAAACTTCAGATGATATAAACAATATATAATATTTATTTATTTCTTATAATTGAACAAATATAAGTATTATCTTCGATATTTTAATATAAGAAAGTTTATAAAAATATATTAAAAGTGAGCTTTTAATAAAAATTATTTAAAAATAAAATTAAATATTTTATTATGAAATTTATAGAAGAATTATTTATATAAATAATTTTTTCTATTTTTAAGCAGTTTAAACATAAAATTCATAATAAAATATTTATAAATTAACAACTTTACTGGGAGATTGTCTATTAAAAAAATTGAAAATTTAAGAGTAGTGTGGAACTAATAAATCCAGGCATTGACATGTGATATTGTGGTTGGAAAGGAGAAAAAAATGAAAAATTTGAAGCAGAGACAGTTCACACTCACACAACAAAAGAGGAAGTTGTTTTTTTCCGAAACTAGCGGACTTTGTTCATCAATGATTACGCTGGCTGGCTACCTTGACGGCTCACTAAATACTCATCACGTGCTGCCATGCCAACACCTCACGCTTGCTTCCATTATTCCTCTCCTCCTAATTCTAACCCTCTCATCTCATTCCTTCAATCTTCCCTTCTTCCATCACAACACCACCTCATCATTTCAACTTTTAATTATATGTATCATCATTTTCTTTTCTCATTCCTAATTCTTTCAGTTCACACACTACTTCAGAGTTCATAAGAATAAAAAAAACTATTTTTCACAATTGATAAACCATGTGTATTCAAGTCAAAGTAAAACGGATAGGAAATAAAGATAGCTTCACCTCAATCAATTCAAACTCCTAGGATAATTTACACAAGAAAAAAGAGTTCTCAAGAACAAATTTTCACCATACATTCGTAACATTTTTATTTTGTTACGGTCAACATTCAACGATGGTGATTTTTTGTTCTGATAAAAAAGTTGATTTTCTGTGGTAAAACCGTTCGGAAAGTGATGGGAATGGTGAATATTATTACGGACAGTGGCGTAACATGCTTACATTTTCTACATTAATGAACGTGGTGCTCCCCTCCATAGTTTGAATCCCATTCAAAAAATGATGTTGGGTACAGCATTAAATGTAGCAGTTGAGGGTTGGAACTCAGAAACGAGCGTCCATTTAGTGCTCATTCACTTTTTTACTCACTTCAATTCAACTATTTAAGTGTTTCTCACCTTCTGATTTCACCAATCCATTTCTTTCTTCCTTGCTTCCATTTCAGCGTTCATGGACTTGCAAGAGAAGCTTTTCTTCGCAGCACTTCTAATTCTTGCAGCGCCCATTCATGGAACGCAGGCAGACACTATGGTCACTGGCACTGTCTTCTGTGACCAATGCAAAGATGGACAGAGATCCCTCTTCGATTATCCTGTCAATGGTGAGTCAGATCTAACTCCTGCAACATTTTGTTCTTCTCTCTGCCGCTGGCGTATACACAATCTTTTTGAATTATGTCTTGAAAAATGTTTGACATCTGACCTTATTTACAGAATACAAACCAAGTGGCAGAGAATATTAACATTAGAATAGTTAAAATATACTAGAAGCTACATTAAGTTTTTTATGTAATTCACAGTTCATGCCTTTTACACTCTTGATATTTACAAATTCTTGAGATATAATCTTTATATATTAACTCATATAATGATTTATACAACATTATTTTCTATCAAAATTATTTATTATACTTTATATTTTCTCAGTATTCTCCTTTTTATTAAATTTGTGGTACAGATAACATTTCTCTACTTTCTATCTCCCGTGCTAAATAACATCCTGTGAGGTGAAAGAATGCTTTTTTCCTTGCTTCGGATAAAAAGTATGAACAAGTCAAACCCTTTATTCTTTCAATAAATGAAGTTTGAAAAATTACAGGTGGCCAGCTGGTCATTTAGACGTTGAATAAATGATGTGGTCACCATCAATATGTTTATTTTTAAAGATCAATATTCTCCTCAAACTTTTAATGACAATAGTTATTGCGTTGCACCCTCTTGCTGTTACAGGTGCAAAAGTAACTCTGTCATGTGCCGACAGTAACGGGCAAATTACAATGTCAAGAGAAGAAACAACCAATTGGTTTGGAAGCTATACGATGAGGTTTGATGGTGCACCCGACTTGAGTGGTTGTTCTGCCCATGTCTCAGGAAGTGGGCAAGGGTCAATGGGTTGTGGTGAAGGGGCTGGTCCTTCCCAGAATCCTAAACTCATGTTTAGGATGTTTGACATGGAGATGTATACGGTGGATTCTCTCCTTGCTCAGCCTACACAACCCATGCAGTACTGCTCAAGATCTTCCAACCCACTGCCAGCACCAGTCACACCACCCAAGTCTCCTCCACATTTCAAGCTACCTCCATTGCCAGAATTCCCTCCATTACCGACACTACCACCACTACCATCACTACCACCCCTACCACCAGTGATCTTTGCAGAGGCTTCAGCATGTCCATCAGAGTAAGTTTATATTTTACTAACCAAGGTTATTCAGCTTCAGGCAGTAGCTCACAAGGACATTGTCTAATACATGTTCAAACTAATTAAATCGCCTGCATAACTGGCTATTACATTAAAGCACGTGACTAATTTTACATGTACATTTAGGTAGGACTACTGAAATGAAAACAACCCTCATCACCTCATGTGCCGGTGCATGTTTGACCGGAAATTGAAGTAGTAACTTCACTGTTTAAGTCTACTTGGAACAGGGGCATGGGAGAACTTAACAATTTCTACCTCTGCTAATATACATTTACGTAGTCCTTCTAAAATTCATAATCGTATATCACTTTGCCGTTAGGACTTTCATTAATAACTTTCATAACAATTTACAAGGGCATGTATAACTTTCTAAATTGTCAGGATGTGGACGATGCCAGAATACAAATGTTACTGGAGGGGTGTGAACCGGGACACTAAAGTAGCGGTGGCTTTTGGAATGGTTGCGGCAAGGAGATATGGAACAGACATTACACTGTGGCATGGATTGCAAGGGAAAGGAGATCCTTACAGGACTCTTCTCAGAGAAGGGATCACCGCACTTCTCAACTCCTATAACAGCTTTCAATTCTCTTATCATCCACTTGGCGTGGTCGAACACATGAATTTGGCTTTGATGGGTTCATCCAGGAGTGTCCTCCTTACTGCGCTACGCTTCAAGAGGGCCAATTCTGGTGCTGGGAATGTCACCTGCAAATTCACCTCTTGCAAATAATTTATATGCTTCTTCCTATATAGCACGATTTGAAAAGGGTTGTTTTTGGGGAATTATCAGTTTTATTTCAAAGGTTCTCCCAGAAAACTTTTGATTAAAAACTTAACCTCGAAATAAACCAATTAAAAAATGCACGATAGAGAATTGAACACCCTTTCTATAAGTTTTGTCTTTATCTTTATTCTAGATATGGGGGTTGGTGCTGTAAGGTTTTTTACCCACAAAGGCACTTGTAAGAGCAAACCATATCCTTAGGCTTATTATACCATCTTTGCCGTTCTTTAGGAAATTACAATTTACAAGAATCTAAAAGCTCTACTGGAGCAAAAGCTGAAGTAATCTATGAATTTAAGCACTGCTAAGGTCAACATCGTTTGAATGACAATTTCTGTAGTCAAGAAACAAACATGGCATGGCTTTCCGAGGCAATTGCTATAAGTTAGCCAGTAAGTTCATCCTCTTTCCCCGTGCAAGGTTAGAAGCAACTGTCTCTTCTTTCAGTCTCTATTTATCTACATACAAATTAATAAAATTACCTTAGAAGTATTAATCACATTGATAATTTACTGTTACTGATACTGTATTATTATTAATTTTATAATCAACATTTTACTAGAAACACCAAGCATTTATCAAATATAAAATATTAAACACCTTGCATAAATAAATAAAATGTACATATTTTTATTGCACAACTTAACTTTAGTTAATGGTAAAAGTTTCAACTAATCAAAGTAAAAAATGGACGCCTAATTGTACCAAAAGTTGAAAATAGATGTAGTTTTTTAAAATTATTTTATTTGAAAAAAAAAACAAATAATCAATGTGATCCATTGAATATTATTTCTCTCAAATTATGATTTGTATTAATTTTTTCTTTTAGCATTCCCTATTTCACAGCAAAATTCAAAAGACGAAAAAATCCATAAAAAAATACTGCATTTGTTGATCATACTCTTTCAGTTTCACCATTAAATGAAAAAACAGAAAGAAATGTTTATAAAGAAAACCAAAATAGAAACATCTTTTATAAAGAAAAAAACAAAAGCGAAAGAAAAATGTACATGCATTAAGCGTCACATAATAGATAGGTCATGACTTATAGAATATCAAGAAAAAATAAAGACAAATTTATTATAAATACAAAATTATTTAAATTTTTTACAAATGCTTAATTCTTGACGCTATTTGCCCATCGTGAATCATTGGTACAAAAAGTAATTTTATTTTTAAAGAAATAAATACCACTTGGACAATATCCTTAAACGTGATTCTATGAGATTAACTTTAAACTTAAGTAAATTATATTATTATTATTATTACTATTATTTTGTACAACACTTTCACAAAATATCTGAATTTCTACTTAATATTCTTACAAGTAAATGACATACAAGGCACTTTTTAATTTTTCAGAGAAATGAATAATACTTTGAAATTACAACGAACAAAATTTTCATTCCTAAGTTTATGTGAAGTCATTAAGGTCAAATTAAATACTTATATAATATCTTTTCAAGCTTAAAGGTTTTCCTATACAACATGTCCTGAAATTTTTTATTAAGCTATTCAAACATTTAAAAAAAAATAAAAATCAGATGGAATTTTAAGTAAGTGCGACCGTGCAAGTTCCCGTTACAATACGCTCTTTGATTAGCCTTAAAAACCACATTCTTCATACTTTTTACAAACTATACTTCCTTCTACAAAAGCTAATAATAGTCAAAATCTATTGACTAATTGCCCATGATTTTGTACTTTCTAGTTACAATATCATTCAGCTCTAATCATAATAATCTTAACCCCTACTGTTCATCTTGCCTAACAGTCTTAATAATCTCAAGCAACAACTACAAAATAATGCAAGGAAATACCACTCTGAAATATGAAAAGAGGCATACATATTCTGATTCATTTACACCCATACCGCGTCATATTTCTCCACTTGTCCTTCAAATCAACCTGAGAAAAATAATTGGATCAGTATCAAAAACATGAGTTCAAAAAGAAAATATGTATCAACCAACTTTTTCACTAAGCCTACTTCAGTTCTCTCTTCAAATATATCTTTGTAAGAATCTAGGATTAACTTCCAATTTCCCCTGCCAAACCTGTACATGTAAAACAAATTTACTAAGAATAGAAAATCGTATTGAAATGGTAATTAATTCTATTTATATTCCAAATGAAGTAGAAAGAGTATCACAGTAGTGGCAGCAAGCAGCTCAAAACACTTTGCAGTGGTAAACAGCAGAACAAGCAAAAACTTCAATAATCAAAATCCACAAGAAAAATTGATTTGAATAGTTTATAATAATTACGTACTTGTCTACACCAGTCTTAAGAGTCTCCTCTTCTAACTGACTCCACTTTTTTGATTTTCTCCTCTTTATAATGCCTGTTGGCTTATACATATTCAGAGGAGAAAGTTTTCTCCTCTTCGGAGAAGGCAAATTAAATCTACTTGAATAGTTTGATGTTCCACCCTCCATGCCGTCTATCGAATCAACCCACTGCAAAAAATGAACCAATAGCTGATACATTAATTTGAAGACACATCCAAATAAAGAATAATAACATCACAAAATTATAAAAGGGGAAAGAGGCATGAAAAAGAGATGTCGGATTGTCAGCCCTATAAATAAACATGTAGTCTCTTCAAAAGAGTCAGCCAACACAATAAGAAATAAGAATTAAAAAGCATAAAATTACCTCATAAACACGAGCGGTACTATTTTTTTCCATCAAACTAGGCCTTCGGGAACAATTATGAGGCAAAGAAGTTTGGTCCTTTTCCATTGGATCAGCCTCATTATTACTAATACCATGTGAGCAAGGTACCTCTGCCTCTTGACTCTGCTTTTTAATAGGTGCCTCCTCAATCACTTCAGATGAATTAAGTAGAGAATCCTTAGCCAACGTTTGCAACTCCACAGAACTGCAATCCCCAATCTTTTCGACTTCAATGGTTGTTGTTAAATGCACTTTCTCAGCAGCAGCAGCACCGGTAGACTTCTGACTTTCTATTGGACACAATGGAATATGAAGAAATTAAATTCTTGCACTATGACTATATAAGCAAACCAATAATTGTTAGGATGTGTTTAAATCACAGGTATGACATATGAGTTATCACTTGTAGCACACGATAATCTTATTTATCAAATGATAAGTTCTCGTTCTAATTAAATGACAGTATAAAAATGGCACTTACTATTTTCTCAAAACATTAAAGGAAAAAACAAAGAAGACATACTTTATGATAAAAATGATTTGGCATGATTACAATCGAACAAAACAGACCTCCCTCGTGGTGTTGTTGGGCCTTGTTCGCGTGCATCGACGCCGCTAACTGAAGAAAGGGAGGGCCCAAATCAGCCCAGGCTTCGGCCAAAAAAGCCTGGAGCTTGATGATGGCATCCCTTCTGGTATCGGTGGAGGCCAACCTCTCCCTCGCTTGCGAGTCCGAAAGGGAAGCTTCGATGTCGCTTCTCCACCGCTCCAACTCCGCTGAGAACAGAAGGCTTCCCTCGCCGGAACCGGAACCGTTCATGTGAAGAACCCTAGCGCGCCATATCCTTTTCACGGCGCGTAGGTAGGCAGGGTTGTGGTGGTGGAGATTCAGTTGCAGGTACTTGAGTGTGCACTCCACCGCGACGGCACAGTAGGCTGCGCTCATGGTGGCAGTGATCGGAGAGGCATCGCGGCGAAGGAGTTCCTCGAGGATCTCGAGGGTTTTGAGAAGGGGTTCGGCGATGGAGAGGGTGGAGAAGTGGTCTTGAAGAGTTTTAAGGAGAAGGGTCTTCTTGAGGCGGGAATTGGCATCAGAAACGGGAATTATCCTAAACAGATTTTTGATTAGGTTATTGTTAGGGAGTGGGTTCCGAAGAAGGAACTCCAACACCCAACTCCCTCCCACATCATTCTTCTCCATTCCCTCCCTCCCTCCTTTCACTTCTTCACTTTCAAGCTTCTTTTTAACCCTTTTTTTACTTCTTTAAAAGAACAGTTTTTTATTTTTAATTAATTTTTTCCACAATATTATTAAATAAAAACTTAGATACATTTTTAATCTCTATTAATTTAATATAATTTTATTTCAGTTTTTTAGTTATCTATTCTTTAAATTTTACATATATATATATATATATATATATATATATATATATACATATATAATTTTTATTAATCATTTTTCTTTTATTTTAAGTTTTGAAATTCGTATTTTTAGTCTCTAAATTTCATTTTAAAGTAAATAAGCTTCACATCTTGTAAATGTTAGAGTATCGTTACTGATAGGATTGACCCCAAAAAGATCATACGAACCAGAGGTTATCATCTTTTTGGTTCATCTTACTCTCCCACAACATTCAGACATTATTTTCTCTTTGTTGACTCATTCATGAAATATTTCCTAATAGCTTTTCTTTTTGTAGGGTTGAACTTTATATTTGAAGAAATATATAATAAAATCAACTTTGCTCTACAAGCATTTAAGAAAAACTCATAAACCTTTTTTATTAAATTTCTTAATGATGAGTGAAAGTTAATATATAATTTTGAATTATATTCACCTAGAAAAAATGTTCAAGACAATACCATTCTTAATGAATGTCTGGTTTTTATCAAATTCAATATACATAAATCATTGTTTATAAAAGTTATATACAGAAAAAATTACTGTTTTAGAGAGACACTCGTTTTATTTATTATACTGTTTTGTAATTATAAAAAAAAAGTTCTAAATATTTCATATTCTAACATTTTAATGACAAAACATCATGATCGAGCAGTGAAATTAATTACTTTAAGAATTGATGTAACTTTAAAAGCAATGATAAATATAAACCACTTCAATTGAATAGCATTAGGAGGGCAAAAGTTCTCCCCATCTCTCCTAAACATGGTAATGTGGGGTAAGAGAGGATTGTTAGCGACAAAATACTTTTCTTCAAACTTTTACAAGAAAAAAATAAAATAATAAAAAAAAGTTACAAGTTAAAATTAGTTTATGTATTAACAAAATTGTAGAAATTAATTCTTATAATTTATTTAATTTTAGTTTTAACATGCACACAAAATAAATTTAATTTATACATTTTTTTTTCAAAAAGTGTTGGTTGAGAACTTATTCAAACACACAAACTAGCTTTAATCAAGACTTATTTTTTAAAATAATAAACGAACTTTATGACGCTTTTTTATATATTTTAATATATAATGTAAATATTAATTTAATTTATTATATAATTTTTCATATCATGAATAAATGTCAAAATTATGGGATATGTTTAAAAGTGACTGAATTATTAAATTATGAATGTTACTTGCAATCTAGTTAGTGTGGAGAAAGCTTGTACTTATAATTGCAAAAAAAAAATCAATATATTTAACAAATTTAGTATTTTTAATTCTATGTATAAAACATAGAAAGACGAAAATAATATCATGTGAAATAGTTTTATATTACAAAAATTTAAATTGATTTTTTATTAAATAATAAAGATAAAAAAGTTTAAAATTATTTATTTTTTAATAATATTTACTTTTTTTGAATTTATGATATTCAACCTTAAAATACTATATCATCACATCTTTATAAACAAAATATTATTATTTAAAAAAAATAAAAATAAATTAAATAATATAAAAATGAATAATAAAAGTAACTATATATAATTAAATATAAAATAAATAATAAAAACAACTTATATATAATTGAAAATAAAATAAATAATAAAAATAATAATATAAAAGACTAACAGATAATTTGAGATAAATAAAAATAATTAAAAATAAAATAAATATAATTAGATAATCATAACTATAAATAAATAAAATTAAAGATATCATACCATTAAATTATTTATATTAGATAAAAATTTATTAAGACTGATTATATTAGATAAATATATATATATATATATATATATATATATTTTTTTTTTTTTCAACCAATCGTAACTCCTTTTTATATCTTTTTTTTTTTTATGCATTCACTATATCCTTATATCTTCGTACTAAGTTTCTTAATTTTCATTATTATTATTTAAATTTTTTAATATATTTTATTAAAAAATAAGTCACTTTTATAAAAATATTCAAATTATTTTAAAAAATATCATAATTTAATATATTATATTAAAAATTGTACATAATAAATTTTAAAATATTTTAAAAAATAAGAGATGATAGTCTTAATCAATTTGGAAATAATAAAATTCTAAAATATTTTAATATTTTGTTTTACAACTTTCTATTGTGTTGAAAAATATGGTGGTGTTTTGAATTACATCAAAAGGATTATATAAAATATAATATGATGTTATTGTTAGGGAAAGTCTTGATAACTTTTGGTACTAATATTTTTCAAACGGTGTTTTTTAAAGAGGTTTAATAAACAGATACACCTTTTCAAACTAAAATTTTGTCATCAAATAATTTATTACTTAAATGTGATTTTATTATTTTACTATTAATTATTAGAGATAATTTATTTTCCATTTTTCTATTTCTACACAATTCAACTTTCAATCCTTTTCTTCTATTCCCGGGTTCTTCCATGAATTGCTGCCTACCTTACAAAGCACATGTAACATGAATTCAAATATTTTTAGAAAAAATATAACTTTATAATACAAACTATTTTTTAATTATATATAAAAGTATATATTATTAAAATAATATTTTAAAATGTGTTAATTTTTAAAAAATATTTTTTTATAAAAGATTAAATTAATAATTAAATGGATAATTTTTTAAATATATAAATATTTAATTTTAATTTATTATTTTTTAAATAAATAATTTTTATATATTTTTGCAAATAAATACGTATTTTTTATTTTCTCATACTTATTTTATCGTTAACCTACAAATTCTAAATCCAATAAAAAAAGTTTATTCTATTTTTCTTTATTTTAAAGAATATAATTAAAGATTGATTCGAGAAATTGGGACAAAATGACCTCCTAAGAGTCAATATTGTAATTCTTGTTGGTGTGTCTAAAGCAAGTGTCAATGAAAACTAAGTATTTCGGTGCTAATCTGTGTTGTCATTGAGTGATTAACCAAAAATCAAAGAATAATATTTTTCCACTGCTTCCATCATGAAAAGGAAGGATCATTCATTGATTATATTGTGGTTTCTTCACTGTCCCACTACAATTTAAAGCAAATTTAATCTTTATGGCTCCAACAGTTATTATAAACTCACAGCCATAAATGACCATTTGTTAGAAAAAGAAAATGTGTTTGTAACTTACACTGTATGAATTGTAACAATTTCATTTTCTAATTCATTCTATATAATATATAGATGAAAAAAAATAAAAAATAACAAAACTATTGTAACAAAAAAACATTCAGAAATTGGCCTTATAGATTGAAGTGCTCAATGTGAAAAATACATTTTTTTAAAATGCGCAATATTATTAAATCATATTTTAAATTGGAAAACTTGTTATAAACTTACAAACTGATAATGTGGTACCTATCGATCAAGAACAAGACATTATGTATTTATTTTTTTCTGATTTAACTTTTCTCCATAAAATCAATGCAACAAAATACAGGCAGTGGCAGCCAAAAACCACACTGGAGTGACATATACATGGCAACGAATTATTGTTACCTCGGAATCAATGGTTGTAACAAAATAAGCTCCGATTAGAATGTGAGGTTCGTAGCAACTCAAGACGATGATCTCTATGCTATCCATGTGTCTAATTGATAATCGACATATATGGTCTCTTTCAATTGCTCTTCAATGTTCTGCCACAGTTTTACTTGCAAAAAAGCTTAACAAATAAACCAAAACAATAAGATGAAGACAGGTTTGAACAAGACAGTCATATACAAGTGGACCAATGAGAACAATGACCCCCCACCAATAATCACCAATGATGCTGATGCCTCTCCACCTCATCCCAAATCAAATCCTTCAAGATAAACATAGAAAATTTGTGTGATGAAACCACCCAAGTCATCATATCATAATTTCACCATATTTGTCCTATATTAAACCCTTTTGTTTAATAATTGATTAAAAAAATCCATTTTGACTTTTCCATCCTTAATCCACAGTTTGGTTTGTGTGGCTTAAAATCACAAGCGAAGAAATGAAAATAATTAATGCTATTCAATGCACATTATTTTTCTTAAAATTGTTACAGATATTGATCCAATTGACAATACTAAAACATAAGGTTCAAAAACTTGTTCGAAAAGATGCATAGCCCTTACGATCTGATGACGATGAGTGTATAAGAACCTCGAGAGCATTTATTGATACACTGTACGAAATTCCTGTCCCACAATATATAAGGGTTTTGATATAGTAAAATAGTGAAATTTATATAATAGCTTAAAAATAAAGAAAGTGGCCATTTTTTCTTTTCAAATTCATTGAATTAATCAATTAATTAAAAGTTTCCAAAAAAACAAAGTAAAAAGATAGCAATAACTTAACCTTGGTACGATAATAACAACCATCCCAGTTGGTAGTAGTAACCTTCCATAAAACAAAAAAGGCAGGCCTTTGATCCAACCCTTTTGTTTTTTTGTTTTGAAGAGTATATAAATGGTCACCACCTAACGTGATTAGTTGAGTTATAATCGACAACAACTAACTCCAGCTAGCTACAGGGTTGAAGAAGAAGGAAGCAGAAAGAAAGTCCTCTTCTTGTTCTTCTCCTTTGTGGCAGTCGACTGAAGATGGGTTCTCAGTTCTCTAAACAGATGGAGCGAAGAAAGGCAATTCACACGCAGAAGAAGATTCTCTCCGATCTCAAAACCTCCGGAGAAGACTACCCCGGCTCCGACTACCACCCCGAAGACAGGAAAAACTGGATGTCCGCTCTCAACCCGGACAAACTCCATATCAACCAGATCGTGTGGCCTGGAACGCACGACTCTGCCACCAACAAAATTGGCATCCCTCTCGTCACTCGCCCTTTCGCGCAGTGTCAATCCCTCTCCATATACAGCCAGCTGGTCCTGGGGACCCGCGTCCTCGACATTCGGGTCCAAGAAAACCGTCGCGTCTGTCACGGAATCCTCGTGACCTACAGCGTCGACGTCGTCCTGAACGACGTGAAGAAGTTCCTGTCTGAGACAACCTCGGAGCTGATCATCCTGGAGATTAGGACGGAGTTCGGGCACGAGGACCCACCGGAATTCGACAAGTACTTGGAGGAGCAATTGGGAGAGTATCTGATCCCTCAGGACGACGTCGTTTTCGGGAAGAGCATCACGGAGTTGTTGCCGAAGAGAGTTATCTGCGTGTGGAAGCCCAGAAAATCGGCCCAGCCCAAAGCAGGGAGTCCTCTGTGGAGTGCAGGGTTTCTGAAGGACAATTGGATCGACACGGATCTCCCTTCCACCAAGTTCGACGGAAATTTAGAGCACTTGAGCCAACACCCACCCGTTACGTCGCGCAAGTACTTCTACAGGGTGGAGAACACCGTGACTCCCGTGGCGGATAACCCCGTTCTGTGTGTGAAACCCGTTACGGGACGCATCCATGGCTACGCCAGGCTCTTCATCGCTCAGTGCTTCGCCAAAGGCATCGGTGATAGGCTTCAGGTTGTCTCCACGGATTTCATCGACGAGGATTTTGTTGACGCCTGCGTTGGACTCACTCATGCAAGAGTCGAAGGGAAAGCCTGAACTCAACATCTTCATCTTCTTCCTCTCTGTTTGCATAAATCTATTCTTTCAACCTGTTTCATGTTTCTTGGATCACTTGTACTTTCATGCTGTCATGCACTTGTTTTTTCATTTGCTGCTCTGTAAACATGTATAGATTTTATTGTACATTGTGAGGGAATTTTTATAAATTAAATTATCCAATAAAAATCAATTCCCTCTTTTACAATTATTATTTAAAAAAATCTATACAATAAAAATAAACTAATAACATGCTTTAAATGGCCTATCTAAAATAATCCAGAATTTGTCACTCTAAAGACCATTGGTGTTCTATTTTTTTCTAAAAAAAATTACTTCTGAAAAGTACATTTCCAAAATTGAAATATTAACCTTTCTTGAAAAAATTAATATTCTTTAAAATGTTAATAAAAATTGAACATTACAAAAAAAAAAAAAAACATTTTTGTTAAAAAAGTATTTTAGAAAGAACAAAATAGATGTATACTTGTAAAACTACAAGGAAAAAAATAGTAATGGTGAAGATGTGACCCAACTTGAATTGAACAAATTAAGAAATGGACTTCTGAAGTTGGACATGAACTAGAAATAGTTCCGGAGTGCAGACCAAAACAGCCTAATCTAACTCTAGCCAGCCACTATCATTTCAAAATGGGCTCAAATTCATTCAGACTTTAAATCTTACGTGAAATGTATTTATATTTCACTCTTTTTTTAAATCATTTTCATATTTAATTAGTATATTAGCACGATGACGGTCTATCTTTATATAACTATATTTTATAGTAAAAAATACTTTAATATACAGATATATATTGTGATTAAATTTTATAATGAATACATTTTTTTTAATATATGAATTATAATTCAGATTTATGAAAACATGTTTACACCAATGTACCATGATTCAATGTCATTTTTATTTATTTTCACTTTTTATTACAAATTTGAAAATTATAAAGTGAAAGATATATATCAATGTAAAAAATATAATTGTTTAAAATGATTAAGACGGATACAATTCTCTTTGGTTGATTGTTAAATCAAATTAAATTAACATATATTAAAAAAATAGTGAATATATAAATTTAGGAAAACAACTCTTAAAAACATTTCAGTTCAGGGAAGTATAAATGTACTATCAAGTGAAGTCTTTATTATCGACGCAATTCTTGTAACATTGGAGAGGAAAAATCTCCCAAATTTTATGTTATAAAATATGATTATAAAATAAATATAAAACATAAAAATATTAATATAAGATTTATCAACATGAAAAGTCTTTTTAAAATTTATATTATTTATTATATTTTTTATAATTTAACTTCAAACTAATTTTATTTTATTCTAGATATACTAGTTTCCTTTTTCTCTCCATCTATTTTATATCATATTTTACAATAGTTGTTTATTTAATTTAAAAAAAAAATAGAGTAAACTTAAATATATTATAAATCAGTCCTGCCTTTAGATCAAACGAAAAAAAATTATAAAAATGCAGGTGGTTGAAATATATATTTATATATTTGTGTATTTAGATATTTTTGTTGGTAATTAATTATTATTAATTTACCCTTTAATATATTTGTCGATCCGTAATTATTCAATAATTTTTATTAATAATTATTTATTTTTTTATAATTATATATTCATTGATAATTAATAATTTTTAATTAGTAATTAAATAATAAAATTATAAAGCTTTATATTTCTTATATAATGTTCTTTTATTACTTCACTTGTAATGTAATATTATATAACTCGTATGTTTAAAATTAGTTTTTTAATAAAATAAATGATTTTATGATTATATTATTTTAATAATTATGAAAGTCTTCATTAATTTTTATTTTATAAACTAAAACAAAAAATTATAAATATGAGTATTTGAATAAATTATTCTAAAAGCTTTCATGTTTTACTTTAAATGCATTAAAAAAACATTCAAAATATATACGTTAATCGGATTTAAAAAAATCTCCATGTGTTTCATTCATTCATCGGATTATTAATTTAAAATTCATTTAAAATAAAAATACGGTAAATTGCCTTTGCATTGAGAAGTTCAAAACATTTATCTAAAAAGTCGTTACAAAAATTATAACATATTTTTAGAATAGAAACGCGGATCCAAACATAAATTATTTCATTTTTAAAAAAATAGTATAAATTCAAGCCTATTTAATAAAAACGATAACAAAGTGAAATGAAGTTCTGAATTATATATGAAGGTGAATTACTAATGAATAAATAGCATATTATGTTTTAAATAATTTATTAAAAAAAAAAAAAACAGATTGTGTTTGTTTATTACGCGGGTGATGCAATGTCTGCGGAACTATGATGTAATTTGATGCAACTGATCCCTCACGTGGTCCAATGAAGATAAAGCATTCTGGTTGATTCATCACTAAGTTATTGAGTAATTGATTTCGACCACAGAACAAATCTTAAAAGAACAAAAATACGAAATTAGGGAAAGAGACTCTGAACGCCTTCAAATTAATGCCCAGACAAAAAAAAATCTTCATAAATTTTTTTATTCTTTTTGAAAGTAAGAAAAGGGAGATTGATAATAATGTGAAATATGTATCTATATTTTTAAGAAATAATTTTGATGATATTCAAGTCAACAATATTTAAGATTCAAGCAAGTCCAAGATATAATTTTGATAAAAATTCTATTCATCATCCAAACAAACTCAAAATGATTCCTTAAGACTAAATATAGTCTTAGAATACTGGATACTACGCATGGCAACTGGCAGGTTTTGCCTCCCGATTCCCGTCTCCGACTTTTTAATCATCCCCGCCCCGATTCCGCCGAGTTAGAAATTAAGTCTTCATCCCCGTCCCGCTGGGTTTCGAGTTTCTCACCCCGCCACCTCCCCGATTTATATTATTTTTAAAAAGATAATTATATTTATAATAAATTAATTTTTCTATCTATTTTTTATATATAAATAAATATTTATAATTTTATAATTTATAATTATTATTAATTAAATATACATTTTAATTTATTATATTTATATTAAAATATGTATGTAAAAAAATATTTAATCATTTTTTATTTATAACATTATTATTATTATTATTATTATTATTATTATTATTATTATTATAATATCTGTATTCAAATATTTGAATATTTATAACATTATTATTATAATACTTGTATTCAAACATTTGATTATATATATATATATATATATATATATATATATATATAAAAGTTAATTCATTTTTAAGTTGTTATTTAAAAATATGAAATATATAGTTTATAAGGAAATATTTAATAAGTTAATTATTATTCAATTAGTTCAAAGTAATAAAAGTTTAAATTATCAATTCCTTTAATCTTTTAAAATACAATTATTTTATTAAGATAAAATTTGATATATGATAAATAAGAATAATAATATAAAAAATGACATAATAAAACCTAATAAATATAAATTATAAATAAAATAATATTAGTTACTACTAAGATTTATATAAAATATTTAGAAAAAAGATAAAGAATAAAAAAAATAACTTTGTGTTCATCAAATTGATTGAAAAGATTGAAAAAGAAAACAAATTGATGGGAGAGATTAAGGAAATGTGAAAAACTCGAAAGGTAAAAGAGAGAATAATGTAATAAATTAATTGATATAAAAGATTAAAAAAGACAAAAAAAATAAAAAATAGGTAGAAGAAAAATAAAAATTGGTGAAATATAAAAAAATGACCTTATATGTAATAGAAAAAGAAAAGAAAATACTTTTAAAATATTAATATTTTAAAATTTAAATTTAAATATAAAGTCGGGTAGGGACTGGCGTGGTCTGGGTCTGGGTCGCATTACCCATCCCCGCCCCGCCCCCGTCTTTTTAAAGCGGGGAAAACCCGAACCCGCCCCCGGTCAACTCGAGTTTTCCCCGTCAAACTTGTGGCGGGGACGGGTCGGTCCCCGTGGGTTTAATTGTCATCCCTACTGGATACAGAGGTATAAGTTAATGAAGTAATATTATGTATAAGCCTCTAAAACACATGTGTGATAGAATTTCGTAATATGACATTTTTCACTGTCATAATTGATTATGATGCATCAGAATTGAGAAATTGATTTTTATTCCGACACAATCGATTATGCTGAGAAGATAATCGGCAGTTCGAAATTCAAAAATATATCTGTTTTGAAGAATAAATATTTTTGAATATATCCTGATTTTTATCCACGAAAATATTAATGTTCAACGACCATTTTCTGATGTTATTTTTCTATTTAATTAAGTTTTGATGGAAAATAAAAAACACACAATTACAGAATTCAAAAATATAATTTACATTAAATCAGTTTTGAGAAAAGAATTATGAACAAGACAACAGAGATATTTTACATGTTTTGAAAAAATTTTCTTCTCCATTGCCACAGAGATATTTTACTAAAACTCTCTTCTCCATTATCTACTGTGCTTTCATTGTTAATTACACTTGTTCTTAGAGGTTGACATTTTACAAGTTTTTACAATTTTTTGTCTCCATTACCCAGGTGTGACTTCTTATTTTATTACCTTCATCTTTTGTGAGCTTAAGTGGTTGATTGTTAAATTTCTTATTTAGGGTTTAAGTAGTCACTGTCATTCTGTTGTGTTTTTTTAGGGTTTCCTTTGTGGAAATTGTTCATCCCTTTGATTTGTTCAGGGAGGTGTTTTTATCATTTGATTAGTTCAGAGGAGGTGTTCATCCCTAGTGAGATTCTAGGAAGGTGTTCATCTTTAGTGAGATTCTAAGGAGGTGTGTTCATCTTTTAATTTGTTTAGAGGAGGTGTTAATCCCTAGTAGGATCCTAGGAAGGTGTTCATCTCAGTGGGTTTCTAAGGAGGTAATTGTCATTTGAATTTGTTTGTTTTTTGCTAAGTTGATTGTAATTTGTCAACTGAATTTAAAAGATAGTGAATTGTGGTCACTCTTATGTTAAGAGTTGATTGGGAACCTGGATATAGGATTGACTA